TAATTTTTCTTTTAATTTCCATTTTTTGTTATTTTTTCCTTTTAATTTCCACGTCAGATGCCATATCAGCGCTGATTAGACTTTCTGTTTAAAACTAACGGTCAACGCCAGTCAACCATAACGGAAAAATAGTTTGGGACAAAATTATCATATCGAGTACTTTAGGACACAAATGACACAAAGTTAATAGTTTGGGTTTCCTAGTGGTATTAGCCCTTATTTTTATTCCTTGTCGGAAGGGGAAAAGCGATACCGTTTGGAAACAAGCGGCATCGCGGAGAATTACAACGGTACCGCGAGTAGGCCCAGCGATGCCGCGGTACTTGAAACGACATTATTTTAGTAGAAAACAATGTCGTTAGCAGCTTTGATTGTTGGTGTTGGGGTTGGAAAATGAGTGTTTTTTATTCCTTGTCGGTGAAGGATAAAAAACACCACCGTTTAGTGACAAGCAATGTCGCGGGTAGAACCAAGTAGTGTTGTTTAGTTAAAAACGATACCGCGAGTAAGCCCAACGATACCGTTGTACTAGAGAAAACGACAATGTTTAATATAAAACAATGTCGCGGAGAAAAAGCAAACGAAGCTGATTGGGGAAGAAAACGACAGCGCAAGGCTGGAAGGAGAGTTGTTTAATATTAAAATGATATCGTGAGTAGAATCAAGCGGTGCTGTTTAGCTAAAAACGACACCGCTAAAGGCCTCAACAGTGTCGCGGTATTACTAAGTGACGCCGTTTGATTAAAAAACTACACCACAACGGGTAGGATTTTGGTGAGGGTCGCGCGCCAAGCCCAACGGCACCACAAGACGAGAAAACGGTACCGTTTGGTAGAGAACAATGTCGCGGAATGAAAAAAGACATTGTTTGATGTGACCAGGACGGAGCAGTTCAAGGTCGGCATTGATTAGTGAAAAGCGATGTCGCGGAAAGATTAAACGGCGCCAAGGGATGAGAATTTGACCGCGTGGCAATAATGAGCCGGTTTAATTAATTAATATGTTTAATGATTATTTTAGACGGTGTTGTTTGACTGAAAACGACGCCGCGAGAGAAAACAACACCGCGGTGTATAAAACGACAATGTTTAATATAAAACAATGTCGCGGAGAAAAAGTAGACAGAGCTGTTTGGGGAATAAAATGACATCGCGTGAGATTCACGCCAACCAGAGTGAGGAGGAGATCAAGACGGTTGAGACACGTGGGAGTTTACAACGGAGCAATTGAGGAAGCGATTTCACCGTGTGTGAAGACTACGAAGATGTTTTTCAAATAAAAGTAGTGGAGCAAGTAGAGAGAAGGGGACAACCAAATCAACACAGAAACACATCTGTCAAACTTTACCTTTTTTCTCTGTAACTCCTTCGCGGAGCTCTCCTTCCAGGAAGGATCTCCATAGTTGTAGTCTTAGATTCCTCCACAGGAATCTCCATAGGAGTAGCGGTAGCGTAGATTCCTCAAAACTCAAACACCCTCGTTCGAACATAGTTTGGAGAGGTGTTGAACCGTAGTAACGGTCGCGTTGGTTAGAAGTCAGAGGTGCATCGATAAGATCAACATCGCCCGGCGGTGGATATTTGACGGTCACGTTGATTTCACCATTCAGAGGTGCATCGATCAAATCAACATCGCACGACGGTGGATATTTGACAATCGTCATCGTGTTCATAAGTCAGTTGCACCGATCAAATCAACACCGCTCGGTGGATATTTGACGGTCGTCTCGATTTCAGCAATCAGCGGTGCATTTGATCAAACGGCACCGCAAGAGTTTCCACCACGAAACATCGAATCGACATCGCCGGAAACCAGGTTCGGCACTAGCGGTGGCATTTGGTTTTCCCGGGAAAAAAACCATAGTTGTAGTCTTAGTCGTAGTCGCGGAGCTCTCCACAGGAATCTCCATAGGAGTCGCGGTATGGTAGATTCCTCAAAACTCAAACACCCTCGTTTGAACGTAGTTTGGAGAGTTGCGAACCGTAGTAACGGTCACGTTGGTTAGAAGTCAGAGGTGCATCGATCAGATCAACATCGCCCGGCGGTGGATATTTGACGGTCACGTTGATTTCACCATTCAGAGGTGCATCGATCAAATCAACATCGCACGACGGTGGATATTTGACGATCGTCATCGTTTTCAGAAGTAAGTTGCACCGATCAAATCAACACCGCTCGGTGGATATTTGAAGGTCGTCTCGATGTCAGCAATCAGCGGTGCATTCGATCAAACGGCACCGCAAGAGTTTCCACCACGAAACATCGAATCAACATCGCCGGAAACCAAGTTCAGCACCGACGGTGGCATTTGGTTTTCCCGGGGAAACACTATGGTTTCTAATGCGTATCTTGTTGTATTTATTTTGGAACAATTAGTAAATGTGTCACTGTCGGCTGAGTACGCAGCAACCGCGACGTCTGCGGGAGAAACTGCCACCATTGTGGCGTCTCGGAGTGGATTAATTTATGCACTAGTGGCGACGACGGTTGCTACTCAAAAGCACCAGGGTAGCCCGTTAATTGAACGAATTAACGGGCATGTACAGGTAATTTGGGTACCCATTAACTCTTTTAAATTTAGGACATGAGATTGACTTGACTCTCCAAACGAGACAGGTATCCCGTCCCGTCCTGTTGCCACCCTGTTTACCACTAAAAAATCACTCAATACCACATTGATTATTTTCAAGGAGTGGTAGTGATTTATAAGGCCAACTTAACCTTGTTAATTAAATTGGTTTAGGTTGGGCCTAAATAATGGTATTTTGGGCTTCATACCAAGTACCTCAACACACACCACTTGACCCACCAAACACCCACCCATCACGCAAAGGGGGTCAAGTGCCGAGCGTTGACACCCTTCAACATCAACCACCCAAGTGGGCACCCCATCATACTTAGCCAAATTTTCGATCTACCAGTCGCCTGCCTACCTTGCGGGTAATTACCTCTAGACATGATGGGGCGAAGAAAGCCAAAATTTGGCTAAGTGTTGAGACCCACAACACAAGGGGGGTCATGCATGACATCGTCCAAGGGGGTATCGTACAAGGGGGGTCAAGCATGACATCATCCCAGGGGGATCAAGCATGATGTCATGCAAAGGGGTCATCGCGCTAGACCGTGATGGGAAAGAAGGCGATAATTGGCTAAGTGTTGAGACCCATAGCACGAGGAGGGTCAAGCATGACACCGTGCAACTGCTAGCTGGCCTTTTGCTCCAACCGCCTTAGGGGCCGCTTGTCGCTGCCTTGGTGACTAGTTGGTAACCGTCGCCTTGGGGGTCTCGTCCCGTCTTGGGGCTGGTTGGTACTTGATGGTCTCGATGTTGGGCCGGGTTGGTGTTAAGCCTTGTCGCCCTGTCATGACTGGATGGGGTTGAGGTTATTTGCCTTAGCCTCCATGATGAAGTCTTGATCGCACCCTCGGCTGCTTGATGACTCCCCACTCTTGTCGTCTTGAGACCGCTACCATCTCATGACACCAAGTCCTCCTCATTAACTTGTTGGTTGTTACCAAGCCGTCTCATCGGCTTGATGCCTTCCGGCAGGCCACCAAGCCCATGTAATCAACTTGACACCCCTTGCTACCAAGCCAGTCCTGGTGGCTTGGTCTCCATACTTAGTTTTTGTAGCCTCGTCAAGTGGTAAGTTGCACCCTGCCGGTTTGGTACCGCGTTAGGGTGCTACCAAGCCCGCCTTGGGACTTTGTCTCCATATGGCCCCATAAGGGCCATACATGGCTGTTTGGTACCTAGTCGGGTGGCCACCTCAGCTAGCCACCATGCCTTAGTCGAATTTCTTGTCTTGTTTGCTTGATACCCTGATGTCTGGTTATCAAGTCCGTCTTGGCCCCCTCTTGCCTGTCCACCAAGCCTGTCTTGCCGACCCCGTTGGCTTCATACTTAGTTTCCGGGGCTGGCTTGGTATCAAGTAGTCGAGGGTGAGATCAAGACTTCATCATGATTCATGGAGGCTAAGGCAAGAGCCTCAACCCCATCCAGTCATAACAAGGCAACAAGGATCAACAACAACACCCGGCATCGAGGCCATCAAGTACCCACCAGCCCAAGACGGGACAAGGGCCCCCAAGGTGACGGTTACCAACTAGTCACCAAAGCGGCGACAAGGACCCGAGGCGGTTTGGAGCAGCAAGCCAGCTAGCAGTTACCAAGGCAGTTACACTCGATGTCTATAAATAGGAGAAACTAAAATTGTAAAAAGGTTCCAAACCAACCATTTAACACACTATGTCAAATTTATCTTTTTCTCTGCAAATTAGCCATAGCCCTTAGTTTCCGGAGCTCTCACTGAACCTCCATAGGAGTAGAGTAACGTAACTTAGATTATTCCCAAAAACCATCAAAAACATCAAACACCCTCGTTCGAACGTTGTTCGGAGAGGAGTGAACTGTGTTATTAATCGTTGTTCAAGAAGTCAAGGTGCATTCATTGTGTTCAAACACAAGTTTTTCCTCGCCGGAAAACAAATTGGCACACCTGGTGGGACAATTGTGTTTGATTTGATGGCTCCACGACTGAGAGAACATGAAGGTGATATTTCACCAGGAGTTTTGAAGGAGTTGGCGGCCAAGTTCAAATTTGGCCAAGCATCAGTAAGGGTTGTCAGAAACAATGGCATGATTGAGATATTGCCACCGGAGGTACCTTGTACCGATGTAACCACCACTGCCATGTCACTCCACTCAATAATGGATGATAACTGCAAGATGGTGATGGAGAACCGTCAAGTGATGGTGGAGATCCGTCGATTGATGGAAGAGAGTTTGAATGGACTTGTTAGAAGTTCACAACAGACAAGTCTAAAACTTGCTTCTTTTAGTTCTATGTTAGATAGACGTTTGGATGAATTGCTTGAAGCAACTATAGAAAATAAAAATTGCTTAGATAAGCTTAAAAAATATTTTATAGAACCAGTGGTGCGAGAAATTTCTTTACCAAAAAATGGTATACATCCGCCACCAAGTATTACTACTGAGTATACAAGTATCTTGTTCTCCGGTGGCCGGACTACTCAGCCACGGTCAGAGAACTCATCGTCTCCGATGGAAAGGCAACTACCTCTTCAACATGGTGGTTGTGGCGAGAATCTCGCTCCCACGTTCACCACTCATGTAAAGCAACCTCCTGTGCCGACAGTTACTCATAAAACTGTCTCAGAAGCTAGACCATGCTTGAACGTGAGAGTTGGTGGAGGGTTAATAGCTCATGTGCTACCACAAGCTTGTCCAACCTCGATGACATCTATGCTCGAGCGGCCTGGTGGATGCAAATCGCCAGGGGGGCATGCAGAGGGCCATGGAAGTCTACCTAACAAGGTGAAGTGTCAGGCTGGGGGACACGTTGATGTCAAGAAAATCGAACACAAGGGTGTGTCCAACATAATACCATGTTTATCTTCTAAGGATTACATGAGGGACATGTCATCAACCACAAGCAGTGGGTTGACAGTTGTGTCCAAGAAGCCACTACAATCCCAAACTACATGTGCTGCTAGTAAGAATGTTAGCGTGGCTATGTTTGGAAAGGGGGACATGTCTCCATCTCCATGCAGTGGACAGGGGGGCATGTCATCAAACATGATGAATGAAGTGAGTGGCAAGTCTAAGTGGGTGTTGGACACCCATGCCACCCATGATTTTCATAACTTTGACAGCGTGTCAAAGAGTGGACAAGGAGGCAAAGGCCCTTGTAGCATGCCACCCATGAATGGTCGACAAGGGGGCATGTCACCAACCACTAACAATAGACAGATAGACGTGCCCAAGAAACCACAACAAATTCAAGCCACACATGCTTATAGTAATCATGATAGTGTAGCTAAGGATGACATGGGGGGCATGTCATCAATCACCACTAGTAGGTTGATAGGTGTGCCCAATAAGCCACAACATGAAGCCACACATGCTTTTAGTAAGCATACTAATAAGGCTAAGTTTGGAAAGGGGGGCACGTCAACAATCATGAATAATGGTATGGGAGACATGTCTCCAACCACTAGACAAGGGGGCGTGTCACCGACCATGAAGAAACAAGTGGGAGAAAATTATATGAGTATGCAGCACACCCAAGCCACTCAAAAAAATTCTAAGTATGAGAGTGTGTTAATAGATGGACAAAGAAGCAAGTGCATGCTTAACAACCCTCATGGCATGCCAAATATGAATGGCAGGGGCATGAACAAGACATCCCGGCATACAAAAACCAAAAATGGTCCTACAAAGAACCAGAGGTTATGTGCTACGTGTAGAAGTCAGGAAGCCGTAAGGGTTGAACAGGATCAAGTTGGCCACCAGGGTGGTCATCGACTTGTTAAGTCCAAACACCCATCTTTCCAACCATATGGGAAGAATAAGCATGTGTCTCATCAGGGGGAACTAAGACAAACGACAACTCATGGTCTTGTTGATGACTCAAAGGAGTTGAAGATGTTTAGTGTGCAACCCAGGATGAGGCAAAAACATCGGGCTCAAAATAAGAACAATGTGTCCAATGAGATGGCTCAGGCAAAGGAGCATGAGACCCCTTGCAAGCCTTCCAAAGCAAGACAAGTTGATTAGGTACCATCCGTTGTTAAGTTGGAAAATTCGTAACCAACACCGAAGGAATGGTCTTTTCTTAAGGAGGGAAGGCATGTAGTGTATGGATGGTTGGTCTGGTTTGATTCATGGATTTGGCAATGGGTGTACACCTTTGGCACATTGTTAGTTGCCAAAGGGTGTGGAAATCAGTGACGTCTATCACTCCTTACTATATTAATTATATAAATAATAGTTATAAAAAAAGAGAAAAAGTGAAAATAGGCCACTCATGGCTAAAAAAGAAGAAGATGTCGAAGTAGCAAGTTTTTGTTTAGACTTGTGATGAGAGGTTCTTGTCATGAATGGTAATCCACAGTAATGTGTTTGGATCCATGCCACTTACAGGGCATGAGCAAGAGATCGGGTATGTGACCTAGAACCTTCATGGTCCATGCCATCATACCCAATGGGGCTTACTTGTTAAAAAATTTAGATGGTGTGTTTCATGATCGATTGATCAATGGTAAGTATCTCAAGCCTTACGTACCTTCTCTTTGGGACGTGGGGTGTCAAAGGGTTCAATGTTAGTAGGCCACCATGGTGGCCGACATGCCAAACCGCCCGCACCCTAAGGCATGACATGACACCCTCATGATGATGTCTGGCTTGAGTAGCTAGCCATGGCATGGAAGGTATATTGAGATAAAAGTATAACATTGATATGAGAGCAGTGAAACCAAGTAGATTGGTATCACACTTTATCAATAATAAAAATAAAATTTGCTACTAAGGCAATGAGGAGTTAACTTGTCTAGGGGGGCAAGTAGATCGCAGTCCTACAAATGGTTGAATGAGAAAAGTATGGCTTTTTATCTTTTAATCGACTTTGATAAAGCCAAAGCTCAGCCGCAGGAGGGTTTGAGAGGTGAGCTTGATATGTACGAGGTGTGAAGCTAAGTGGTTTAGTTGATGTTAACTACTTAGTCCATAATCCTTATGCACTAAGTAGTTAGGGGGCATTTGTTTACCACTAAAAAATCACTCAATACCACATTGATTATTTTCAAGGAGTGGTAGTGATTTATAAGGCCAACTTAACCTTGTTAATTAAATTGGTTTAGGTTGGGCCTAAACAATGGTATTTTGGGCTTCATACCAAGTACCTCAACACACACCACTTGACCCACCAAACACCCACCCATCACGCAAAGGGGGTCTAGTGCCGAGCGTTGACACCCTTCAACATAAACCACCCAAGTCGTGGAGACCCACAACACAAGGGGGGTCAAGCATGACATCGGGCTAGGGGGGTCATGCATGACACCATCCAAGGGGGTCAAGCACAAGGGGGGTCAGACATGACATCATCCCGGGGGGGTCAAGCATGATACCATCAAAGGCGAGTAGAGTATGACGAGACGCTAGCTAGCTGTGGTAGCAAAGAGAGCCAAAATTTGGTTAAGTGTTGAGACCCATAGCCCAAGGGGGGGGTCAGACATGACATCATCCCAGGGGGTCATGCATGACACCGACCAAGGGGGTCAAGCACTAGGGTGTCAAGCATGATGCAGAGGTGAAAATTGGCTAAGAATGGAGATCCAACTGTCCAAGGGGGGTCATGCATGACCTTGTCCAAGGGGGTCTCGTCTAGGGGGTCTCGTCCAAGGGGGTCTCGTCAAGGGAGTCAAGCATGACACCGTCCGAGGGGGGTCAAGCATGATACCATCCAAGGGGGTCTAGCCGCCTACCAGGTATCAAAGCGTGTGGCAAAGGGAGAAAGGCAACACAAGTCACTATAACGTGATGGGAAAAAAGGCGAAAATTGGCCAAGTGTTGAGACCCATAACGCAAGGGGGGTCAAGCATGACATCATCCCAGGGGGTCCTTGTACTAGGGTGTCAAGCATGATAACCAGACATGGCCATAGCAAGAGGGTACCAAGCCGGCAAGGCAGGGCTTGGTACCAAGACATGAAAAGCATGAATTCGGCTAAGTATGAAGTCAACGGGGTCGGCAAGACAGGCTTGGTGGACATGCAACAGGGGGCCAAGACAAACTTGATAACCAGACATCAGGGTATCAAGCAAACAAGATAAGAAATTCGACTAAGGCATGGTGGCTAGCTGAGGTGGCCACCCGACTAGGTACCAAACAGCCATGTATGTCCCAAGGCGGGCTTGGTAGCACCCTAACGCGGTACCAAACCGGCAGGGTGCAACTTACCACTTGACGAGGCTACAAAAACTAAGTATGGAGACCAAGCCACCAGGACTGGCTTGGTAGCAAGGGGTGTCAAGTTGATTACATGGGCTTGGTGGCCTGCCGGAAGGCATCAAGCCGATGAGACGGCTTGGTAACAACCAACAAGTTAATGAGGAGGAATTGGTGTCATGAGATGGTAGCGGTCTCAAGACGACAAGAGTGGGGAGTCATCAAGCAGCCGAGGGTGCGATCAAGACTTCATCATGGAGGCTAAGGCAAATAACCTCAACCCCATCCAGTCATGACAGGGCGACATGGCTTAACACCAACCCGACCCAACATCGAGACCATCAAGTACCAACCAGCCCCAAGACGGGATAAGACCCCAAGGCGACGGTTACCAACTATTCACCAAGGCAGCGACAAGCGGCCCCTGAGGCGGTTGGAGCAAAAGGCCAGCTAGCAGTTACTACGGTGGTTACCAAGGAAGTTACACCCAGTGGCTATAAATAGGAGAAACGGCCCCTAAGGCGGTTGGAGCAAAAGGCCAGCTAGCAGTTACTACGGTGGTTACCAAGGAAGTTACACCCAGTGGCTATAAATAGGAGAAACGAATACGGGAAAAGGGTTCCACAACCAAACATTTGACACACTATGTCAAACTTTATCTTTTTCTCTGCAAATTAGCCATAGCCCTTAGTTTTCGGAGCTCTCACTGAACCTCCATAGGAGTAGAGTAACGTAACTTAGATCATTCCCAAAAACCATAAAAAAACATCAAACACCCTCGTTCGAACATTGTTCGGAGAGGAGTGAACCGTGTTATTAATCGTTGTTCGAGAAGTCAAGGTGCATTCATTGAGTTCAAACACCAGATTTTCCTCGCCGGAAAACACACACCTATCTCAAATCTTAGCCTAGACACATCTCACCGATGTGCCTTACCTTCGGCAGGTTATCAAATGCCGGAAACATAGATGGGCCCTGAAGTGCGTTTCGGTTCTCTATTGGCCCTGAAAGGACATTATGCGCTCGAGAGCTGTCTCTTGGAACTTCAAGTGCCACAGCACCTAAGAGTTTAATAATATAAAATTCAAAAACTCATTTGTGAAATCCAATATCTCATGGGAGATAAAGAGATACGAGAAGTTTGAAAGAAAGGAGAAATAAAAGCAATTTTGTTTTATCAGATAAAGGAAAGGAAAGGAGAAGATAAAAGCCTTCTCCTGACTCTTCACGCTTCCTTTCCCCTTCTTCCCCACGAAGATACCCACCATTGTTGCCTTTTTTTTTCACAGAACATTGCCTTCTCATCATAATCCTGTGATTCTCCACCCAAACATATTCCGATAAGCCTTAATTCCAGCCCCTTGTTCATGTAATCTTTTTCATCTCTTTTTTTCCTTGAGAGGAGCAAGTAGCCCCTTCACGAAAAGGGTCGGGCTCCATTGGCGGCTGCCGGATTTCGCCATTGACGGTGAAGAAATACCTTCATTCACACTACCTCTCTAATCTGTAAGTTTGTTTCTTCTTGTTGTTGTTGTATTTTTTCCACTATTGAAGGAACCCTAAAATCTAACTAGTAGCTTTTTTTGCAGTCCAATTGGTTAAAGAGTCAACTGAAGCGAAAGAAGCTGGAAGTATGGAACAAGACACTATCATGGTTGAAGATGATGAAATCAATGATCGAGGTAATACTATTCAATCACCCGAGCAAAATGGTTATAATAGAAGTGAATGGAAGTGGGTACCAGTGGTGGGTGTGTCCTATTCTTCAGCTGATGAAATCTTTGAGTTATATCAAGATTATGCTGAAGCAAAAGGATTTGCAGCAACATAGGCAACAACCCAAAAAAATAAGAAGGGAGAGACTGCAAATTGTAGATTTTGTTGTCATAGGGCTAGGAAACCATCTAACAAGTCAAAGAATCCTGTCAAACCAAAACCCAGCCATCGAATTGAATGGGGAGCTCGATTGAATCTTAGTTCAAATGGGTTGCAAGCATCTAGTCCAACTTTTGGGATGCAGGTACTTTGACTTGAATTTCCCTTGCTTTGATTGGTTTTGCCATTGCTGATTTGTTAGTATCAACATAAGTAAAGTTTGAAAGTTACATTTTTTCAGGTTAGATCGGTATTTGGTATTCCAAATTACCCTTGCTTTGCTAGAAATGAACAGGTTTGTGATCAACAAGTTTTCCTAGGTGGCGGAGGTTCACACACTGAACTTTTGACAAGCATGCATTTGGGTCATAATTTCGTAAGTAAAAAAGTGTACATTTGTTGTTTGAAAATCTTATATGTTGAAGCCAATTAGTTTTAACTCGTTGTTTTGATATTGCAGAATGCATATTGACTACATAAGTGATTCTAGATGAAGTATATATTCACATATTAGCTACTAAACAATACAGGAGGATGCACATATTTTGACAACAGTGGATGGGTATATAATGAGTTTATTCTATACGGATGGTCTTTGGTTATTTTGTGGACCATACCAAACTTATCCATTGTGTAAATCTCATGGATGAGATATATTTTCATTGTAACCCCTGGATGTTATGAGTGCAATTAGTTCACTGTTAATTTATGACAATTTCTTATTCACGTAAACCTTTCAGGTGTCACCTAAAATCAAATTTATTCACGTAAGTCTTCAACTATTTACGCATATTTGATCTCAGTCACGCCAAAACAATCAACCCAGTATAAAAACAAAGTCGGTCGTGTTCTTATCAAACAAGCAGGGGGCACACTTAAAAAAACACCCTCTCCTTAACAAAACCCGGCTTCTTCCCAAAAACCCGGTCTCTCTTCCTAAAAGGCCGTATTTTCATGTGATTAACACAAATGCACGCCATGTCACGCTAAAACATTAAAACTCACGCATAAACAGACACTGTCACGCCAATATAACACTATTCACGCATAAGCATACCCTACTCACGCATAAACAGACATTTATTCACGTTAGTCTTGTAACTATTTACGCATATTCAATCTCCTCCACTATATTCAAATAAGATCAAGGAAAAGTTCTTGTCTCTAGATGTGCCAAGAGACCAGACTCGAAGATCAATAAGGTATAACTATTCAACATGTTATAAGAACTCATAATATACCAAACTAATAGTCTAGTATGTTAGATAACATGCTCAACAACGCATTCACGAGTTTAAGTGCAATACTCACATCACATCGTCGAATGAGTTACTCTATAGTTTTATATCAATTCAATAGTGTAATAACTTTTAAATATTAGTATATACATTTCAAAAAATTACCCAGTCACGTCAACACTATCTATTTCACGCCAACATTATATGATTCACGCACATTCATCTCTGAAAACGCCAAAACCATATGATTCACGCCAATACCCATCTTATTCACGCCAACATTATGTGATTCACGCAAACACATTCTCATTCACGTCAACACTATGTGATTCACGCCAAAACAATCTGACTCACGCAAATGGATCGCCATTCATGCCAATATTAATCTGATTTCACGCATATTCATGTAGGGACATGCCAAAACTGTAAGAGTCACGTCAATACACATCTAATTCACGCACATTCATCTCTGAAAACGAGCACTTCTACTATGCTATAAAGTATTGGTACTTTAATGTACAACTTAAAGTTGTACCATAACGTTAAATGTACAAGTTCAGGTTGTACCATAAAAGAATTTGTGCTCTTATGTTATGGTACAACTTTATAACTTAAACTTGTACCATCAAATGAAAGTACAAGTTTAAGTTGTACCATAAAACAATTTGACAAAAGAGTATAGGTACAATATGAAGTTGTACCATAACGTTAAAAGTACAACTTCAAGTTGTACCATAAAGAGAAAAACCTATAGCACCAATACTATATAGCATTGTAAATTCCTCCTCTGAAAACGCCAAAACCATATGATTTCGCCAACATTATGTGATTCACGCAATCACATTCTCATTCACATCAACACTATGTGATTCACGCCAAAACTATATGGTTCACGCAAATGGATCACCATTCACGCCAATATTAATCTGATTCACGCATATTCATTTAGGGACATGCCAAAACTATAAGAGTCACGCCAATACACATCTAATTCACGCACATTCATCTCTGAAAACGCCAAAACCATATGATTCAGGCCAATACCCATCTGATTCACGCCAACATTATGTGATTCACGCAAACACATTCTCATTCACGTCAACACTATGTGATTCATGCCAAAACTATATGGTTCACGCAAATGGATCACCATTCACGCCAACAATATCTAGTTCACGCAAACACGTTCTCATTCACGTCAACACCATCTGATTCACGCCAAATATATATGATTCACATAAATTGATCACCATACAGGACAATATCCATCTGATTCACGCAGAACCATACCCCCACCAAAATGTACCATTTCAACAAAGTAGTTACCATGTCTGTCAACAAACATTTACATCCAATCACCAAAAAGTTATCTCGTGTCTCTCTTGTCTGGCAAACCATCTCCCACTTGCACATAATCTCTCTATTACTCAAAATATGCTTTCCTTCATTGATTCCCAACAGCTGTTTTCCTTGTGTTGTATCCACTCAAGGAATAAGTTCTCTCGCAGTCTCAAAGAAGATTTCTGAAAAAAGAAGAAAGATAACATAAGTATAGATCAACACAACCATAAAAGTACATTGATATACAAGTTTTTGTCAAATCATACCTCATTCACGGCATCAGATAAATTTCTTCATCAACCATTCACATAATGTTTCCTCATCAACCATTCACATAATGTTTGATCATGCCTAAATTTCTTCATGTATAGCAACTCGCCGAAGCCCATTTCTCCAACCCATCCTCTCTTTTCCTCAGATAAACAACTTATAATTTCAATCACTTTCATTGAACTGCACCTCACATTTCCTCCTCCCTACATATAGATTAGAAACAATAATGCACAAGACAAATTACTTTCACTAAGACATGCAAGGAAATCATTTTGTTAATTACCTTTCTTTGCCTTTTTTTACGAGGTTCACCACTATCCATATTGGCACTATTATAACCTTTGGAAGAAAAAAGACAGCCAATCAATGTAGTTGGAGAAGACATACAATTTCAGTGCATAAAACATCAAAATGCTTCACAAGCTACTATGGCTCATTCCCAACCCACCCAAAATTACATTTCCACTTCCTAGCCGAAAACCCCACCTACAACAAATATGTGTTATTGTCTTGTTAAACACCTTATTCTGCCAAGAGACCAAATTTTATTGCATTATAAATAAATAAACAAAATCCAGTATGTTGTGGCTCATGTCACGTGTACTTCATTGTTATATATAATTGAGTAATTAATCTTTCCCCTACTCTTCAATTATTGCTTGCTTCTAATTGATTAACTAATCTCCCCCATGACTACAAAATCCCTAAACCAATAATTTAAAATCTTACCCTAAAACAATTTCAAAACAAATCCATAATGTTTCGCAAAACTTACCCACGAGCAGGGATGGGTGGAACATGCAATACCAGGGGTTTCCGTTTACCGCGATTGGGGTTGAACGTTTGCTGCGATTGGGGCTGAAGATGTTGGCTCTGATTTGCCGGACCAAACTTGCGGACGGGTTCTCCCTACATTGTTTGTCCCCTTTCACCCCGATCTCTGGCGCCTTCGCCTCCGAACCCGACGCCTCCGCCTCCGAACCCGACGCCTCCGACTCCGGCTCCTTCGCCTCCGAATCCGACGCCTCCGACTCCGGCGCCTTCGCCTCTGAATCCGACGCCTCCGCCTTCGCCTCCGATCTCCGGCGCCTTCACCTCTGAATCAAACGAAAGGAAAGCTTGCCTCTCCCTGATCTTCGTTTGCTTGCCCTCGCTCTCTATTGTCGTCTCCAGCGACTATTTGGTGAGGAAGAAAAGCATTGGAAAGGGTAGTGGAAGAAGAGCAGAATGGGATTTCAAAAGATGGCTTTTGTGGATGGAGGATACGAAGAGGTGGTTGGGGTAAAGAGAAAGTGCATTTTTTAATTCAATGTATCTTTTATTTTCAATTTCTCTTCTCACCAACATTCAATTTCTCTTCTCACCAACGCATATCTCTCATACAATTATTTAATACATTTTTCATTAGGTGTCCCTCACACTTAACGTGCCAAGGAAAGTTTTCCTATGCGCTCCCGCCTCCGTGTCCCTTCTTCTTCTCCTTCTTTCCCCCATCATTTCCAAAAAGGAAAACTTTCCTTGGCACGTTAGGTGTGAGGGACACCTAATGAAAAATGTATTAAATAATTGTATGAGAGATATGCGTTGGTGAGAAGAGAAATTGAATGTTGGTGAGAAGAGAAATTGAAAATAAAAGATACATTGAATTAAAAAATGCACTTTCTCTTTACCCCAACCACCTCTTCGTATCCTCCATCCACAAAAGCCATCTTTTGAAATCCCATTCTGCTCTTCTTCCACTACCCTTTCCAATGCTTTTCTTCCTCACCAAATAGTCGCTGGAGACGACAATAGAGAGCGAGGGCAAGCAAACGAAGATCAGGGAGAGGCAAGCTTTCCTTTCGTTTGATTCAGAGGTGAAGGCGCCGGAGATCGGAGGCGAAGGCGGAGGCGTCGGATTCAGAGGCGAAGGCGCCGGAGTCGGAGGCGTCGGATTCGGAGGCGAAGGAGCCGGAGTCGGAGGCGTCGGGTTCGGAGGCGGAGGCGTCGGGTTCGGAGGCGAAGGCGCCAGAGATCGGGGTGAAAGGGGACAAACAATGTAGGGAGAACCCGTCCGCAAGTTTGGTCCGGCAAATCAGAGCCAACATCTTCAGCCCCAATCGCAGCAAACGTTCAACCCCAATCGCGGTAAACGGAAACCCCTGGTATTGCATGTTCCACCCATCCCTGCTCGTGGGTAAGTTTTGCGAAACATTATGGATTTGTTTTGAAATTGTTTTAGGGTAAGATTTTAAATTATTGGTTTAGGGATTTTGTAGTCATGGGGGAGATTAGTTAATCAATTAGAAGCAAGCAATAATTGAAGAGTAGGGGAAAGATTAATTACTCAATTATATATAACAATGAAGTACACGTGACATGAGCCACAACATACTGGATTTTGTTTATTTATTTATAATGCAATAAAATTTGGTCTCTTGGCAGAATAAGGTGTTTAACAAGACAATAACACATATTTGTTGTAGGTGGGGTTTTCGGCTAGGAAGTGGAAATGTAATTTTGGGTGGGTTGGGAATGAGCCATAGTAGCTTGTGAAGCATTTTGATGTTTTATGCACTGAAATTGTATGTCTTCTCCAACTACATTGATTGGCTGTCTTTTTTCTTCCAAAGGTTATAATAGTGCCAATATGGATAGTGGTGAACCTCGTAAAAAAAGGCAAAGAAAGGTAATTAACAAAATGATTTCCTTGCATGTCTTAGTGAAAGTAATTTGTCTTGTGCATTATTGTTTCTAATCTATATGTAGGGAGGAGGAAATGTGAGGTGCAGTTCAATGAAAGTGATTGAAATTATAAGTTGTTTATATGAGGAAAAGAGAGGATGGGTTGGAGAAATGGGCTTCGGCGAGTTGCTATACATAAAGAAATTTAGGCATGATCAAACATTATGTGAATGGTTGATGAGGAAACATTATGTGAATGGTTGATGAAGAAATTTATCTGATGCCGTGAATGAGGTATGATTTGACAAAAACTTGTATATCAATGTACTTTTATGGTTGTGTTGATCTTTACTTATGTTATCTTTCTTCTTTTTTCAGAAATCTTCTTTGAGACTGCGAGAGAACTTATTCCTTGAGTGGATACAACACAAGGAAAACAGCTGTTGGGAATCAATGAAGGAAAGCATATTTTGAGTAATAGAGAGATTATGTGCAAGTGGGAGATGGTTTGCCAGACAAGAGAGACACGAGATAACTTTTTGGTGATTGGATGTAAATGTTTGTTGACAGACATGGTAACTACTTTGTTGAAATGGTACATTTTGGTGGGGGTATGGTTCTGCGTGAATCAGATGGATATTGTCCTGTATGGTGATCAATTTATGTGAATCATATATATTTGGCGTGAATCAGATGGTGTTGACGTGAATGAGAACGTGTTTGCGTGAACTAGATATTGTTGGCGTGAATGGTGATCCATTTGCGTGAACCATATAGTTTTGGCATGAATCACATAGTGTTGACGTGAATGAGAATGTGTTTGCGTGAATCACATAATGTTGGCGTGAATCAAATGGGTATTGGCGTGAATCATATGGTTTTGGCGTTTTCAGAGATGAATGTGCGTGAATTAGATGTGTATTGGCGTGACTTATAGTTTTGGCATGTCCCTAAATGAATATGCGTGAATCAGATAAATATTGGCGTGAATGGTGATCCATTTGCGTGAACCATATAGTTTTGGCGTGAATCACATAGTGTTGACGTGTATGAGAATGTGTTTGCGTGAATCACATAATGTTGGCGTGAATCAGATGGGTATTGGCGTGAATCATATGGTTTTGGCGTTTTCAGAGATGAATGTGCTTGAATTAGATGTGTATTGGCGTGACTCTTATAGTTTTGGCATGTCCCTAACTGAATATGCGTGAATCAGATTAATATTGGCGTGAATGGTAATCCATTTGCGTAAACCATATAGTTTTGGCGTGAATCACATAGTGTTGACGTGAATGAGAATGTGTTTGCGTGAATCACATAATGTTGGCGTGAATCAGATGGGTATTGGCCTGAATCATATGGTTTTGGCGTTTTCAGAGATGAATGTGCGTGAATTAGATGTGTATTGGCGTGACTCTTATAGTTTTGGCATGTCCCTAAATGAATATGCGTGAATCAGATTAATATTGGCGTGAATGGTGATCCATTTGCGTGAACCATATAGTTTTGGCGTGAATCACATAGTGTTGATGTGAATGAGAATGTGATTGCGTGAATCACATAATGTTGGCGAAATCATATGGTTTTGGCGTTTTCAGAGGAGGAATTTTACAATGCTATATAGTATTGGTGCTATAGGTTTTTCCCTTTATGGTACAACTTGAAGTTGTACCTTTAACGTTATGGTACAACTTCATATTGTACCTATACTCTTTTGTCAAATTGTTTTATGGTACAACTTAAACTTGTACTTTCATTTGATGGTACAAGTTTAAGTTATAAAGTTGTACCATAACATAAGAGCACAAATTCTTTTATGGTACAACCTGAACTTGTACATTTAACGTTATGGTACAACTTTAAGTTGTACATTAAAGTACCAATACTTTATAGCATAGTAGAAGTGCTCGTTTTCAGAGATGAATGTGCGTGAATTAGATGTGTATTGACGTGACTCTTACAGTTTTGGCATGTCCCTACATGAATATGCGTGAAATCAGATTAATATTGGCATGAATGGCGATCCATTTGCGTGAGTCAGATTGTTTTGGCGTGAATCACATAGTGTTGACGTGAATGAGAATGTGTTTGCGTGAATCACATAATGTTGGCGTGAATAAGATGGGTATTGGCGTGAATCATATGGTTTTGGCGTTTTCAGAGATGAATGTGCGTGAATCATATAATGTTGGCGTGAAATAGATAGTGTTGACGTGACTGGGTAATTTTTTGAAATGTATATACTAATATTTAAAAGTTATTACACAATTGAATTGATATAAAACTATAGAGTAACTCATATTCGACGATGTGATGTGAGTATTGCACTCAAACTCGTGAATGCGTTGTTGAGCATGTTATCTAACATACTAGACTATTAGTTTGGTATGTTATGAGTTCTTATAACATGTTGAATAGTTATACCTTATTGATCTTCGAGTCTGGTCTCTTGGCACATCTAGAGAGAAGAACTTTTCCTTGATCTTATTTGAATATAGTGGAGGGGATTGAATATGCGTAAATAGTTACAAGACTAACGTGAATAAATGTCTGTTTATGCGTGAGTAGGGTATGCTTATGCGTGAATAGTGTTATATTGGCGTGACAGTGTCTGTTTATGCGTGAGTTTTAATGTTTTAGCGTGACATGGCGTGCATTTGTGTTAATCACATGAAAATACGGCCTTTTAGGAAGAGAGACCGGGTTTTTGGGAAGAAGCCGGGTTTTGTTAAGGAGAGGGTGTTTTTTTAAGTGTGCCCCCTGCTTGTTTGATAAGAACACGACCGACTTTGTTTTTATACTGGGTTGATTGTTTTGGCGTGACTGAGATCAAATATGCGTAAATAGTTGAAGACTTACGTGAATAAATTTGATTTTAGGTGACACCTGAAAGGTTTACGTGAATAAGAAATTGTCATAAATTAACAGTGAACTAATTGCACTCATAACATCCAGGGGTTACAATGAAAATATATCTCATCCATGAGATTTACACAATGGATAAGTTTGGTATGGTCCACAAAATAACCAAAGACCATCCGTATAGAATAAACTCATTATATGTGCATCCTCCTGTATTGTTTAGTAGCTAATATGTGAATATATACTTCATCTAGAATCACTTATGTAGTCAATATGCATTCTGCAATATCAAAACAACGAGTTAAAACTAATTGGCTTCAACATATAAGATTTTCAAACAACAAATGTACACTTTTTTACTTACGAAATTATGACCCAAATGCATGCTTGTCAAAAGTTCAGTGTGTGAACCTCCGCCACCTAGGAAAACTTGTTGATCACAAACCTGTTCATTTCTAGCAAAGCAAGGGTAATTTGGAATACCAAATACCGATCTAACCTGAAAAAATGTAACTTTCAAACTTTACTTATGTTGATACTAACAAATCAGCAATGGCAAAACCAATCAAAGCAAGGGAAATTCAAGTCAAAGTACCTGCATCCCAAAAGTTGGACTAGATGCTTGCAACCCATTTGAACTAAGATTCAATCGAGCTCCCCATTCAATTCGATGGCTGGATTTTGGTTTGACAGGATTCTTTGACTTGTTAGATGGTTTCCTAGCCCTATGACAACAAAATCTACAATTTGCAGTCTCTCCCTTCTTATTTTTTTGGGTTGTTGCCTATGTTGCTGCAAATCCTTTTGCTTCAGCATAATCTTGATATAACTCAAAGATTTCATCAGCTGAAGAATAGGACACACCCACCACTGGTACCCACTTCCATTCACTTCTATTATAACCATTTTGCTCGGGTGATTGAATAGTATTACCTCGATCATTGATTTCATCATCTTCAACCATGATAGTGTCTTGTTCCATACTTCCAGCTTCTTTCGCTTCAGTTGACTCTTTAACCAATTGGACTGCAAAAAAAGCTACTGGTTAGATTTTAGGGTTCCTTCAATAGTGGAAAAAATACAACAACAACAAGAAGAAACAAACTTACAGATTAGAGAGGTAGTGTGAATGAAGGTATTTCTTCACCGTCAATGGCGAAATCCGGCAGCCGCCAATGGAGCTCGACCCTTTTCGTGAAGGGGCTACTTGCTCCTCTCAAGGAAAAAAAGAGATGAAAAAGATTACATGAACAAGGGGCTGGAATTAAGGCTTATCGGAATATGTTTGGGTGGAGAATCACAGGATTATGATGAGAAGGCAATGTTCTGTGAAAAAAAAAGGCAACAATGGTGGGTATCTTCGTGGGGAAGAAGGGGAAAGGAAGCGTGAAGAGTCAGGAGAAGGCTTTTATCTTCTCCTTTCCTTTCCTTTATCTAGGGATGGCAAAAATATCCGTAACCGTGGATATCCGCCCGAATCCGACCTAATCGGGTAGGGTAAAATCCGAATTCGAAAGACTTTTAGTGGGTACGGGTAAAACCCGAACCCGAATATTGCGGGTAATGGGTGGGCATGGTTTTCTCACTATCCAACCCGAACCCGCCCGATTATACACATGCATATGTATTTTGTCTAGAAATAATCAATATTTTTCTCTAACATATTTTATATTTAGCATATAAATATAATTTTCTTATGAAATTGTGTTGTTTTAATTAATTTTCTTCATTCTAGTGAATTATTGCCGTATTTTTCCTCTTACGTAACGTGAGAATACGTGTAAATATTAACATATTGATTGGAGTTATAAAGAAAAACTATTACCCATGGATAACCGTGGATACCCGAAACCCAAACGGGTATGGGCATGGTTTGGGTTTTCTACCCGTTTCTTATGTGGGTATGGATATGTGTAAAACCCGAACTACTTTGGGTAGGGTAACGGATATGCACTATCCGTCCCCGACCCGACCCATTGCCATCCCTACCTTTATATGATAAAACAAAATTGCTTTTATTTCTCCTTTCTTTCAAACTTCTCGTATCTCTTTATCTCCCATGAGATATTGGATTTCACAAATGAGTTTTTGAATTTTATATTATTAAACTCTTAGTTGCTGTGGCACTTGAAGTTCCAAGAGACAGCTCTCTTCCAAAAAAATTCTTCAAACCACCCACAAATATCAGCAGGTACGCTCTTCACAGTTCGCCGGAGCTCTCAGCTGCCGTATCTGGAAGACGAGTTCCACCGGGAGGCAGGCTTTCGTCAGCCTTATTATTCTTATCAACCGAATTTAGAGTACATTACACAGTAAGTTGCGTCCTCAGTATCTCTTTCTTCGGCCGTCGTCGTCCCGATACGCGGCGGCAGAGCTCATGCCAGATTTCAGGTTCCTGCCACTTCAGTGCTTCAATTGCCTCCGTAATTTTATGAACTGAAGGTTCAGTTTGATTTCGTAGTTTTATCAGTTTTAAAAAGGAAAGGGTTTCTGACCAATGGTGGTTACAGTGTTGGCGCCCTCGCAACCTGATTGTTTCTCCAAGTCCAGTTTCCTTCCTCTGCCTATTCCCTGTAGGAAATCATGGATTCAAATTTCAAACCCTAAAGAGAAAATTAGCAACCCATCGGTTTCAATCTCCTGTGCTGCTCCCAAAATTGTTCGTAGCCGGCCGCTAGACAATCTCGTCGTGAAGCAGAACAGCATTCGGTTTGTCCAAAAGCTCAGAACCCTACTTCTCTCCAAGCCAAAACACTATCTCCCGATACACATCCTCGCCAAATGCCGTTCTTATCTCGGTCTCCCCGACCGTCGTCCCATCAGAAGCATGATTCATAGGTACCCTTCTATATTCGAGTTCTTTGCAATCCCTACACATCCATCTCCATTCAATGCCACAAAGCCGCACAATCAGTTCTGTGTTCGATTGACCCTGGCGGCAGAAGCCCTAGCTGCTGAGGAATCCAAGCTCCAATCTGCCATTTCTATCAAACTGGCACAGAAACTGCAGAAGCTGCTGATGCTTGCTTCTAACCGCCGGCTGGTTCTAACAAAGCTGGTTCACCTAGCACCTGATCTCGGCCTCCCACCTAATTTCAGGTCTCGCCTCTGCAACGATCATCCGGATAAATTCAAGATTGTGGAGACATCTTATGGTCGTGCCCTGGAGCTCGTGTCGTGGGATGAGCAGTTAGCTGTTCCTAGACCAACTCCAGTTGTTTCTCGCGATTTGATTATGGATAGGCCATTGAAATTCAAGAGGTTGCAGCTTAGAAAGGGATTGAATCTGAAGAGGCGGCATGAGAGTTTCCTGATTAAGCTCTCGGAACTGCCTGATGTGTGCCCTTATAATACCACTATGGAGGAATTCAGTCAAGAGTCCATGGAAGCGGAGAAGAGAGCGTGTGCTCTGGTGAGGGAGGTGTTGGGTTTGACAGTTGAGAAGAGGACTTTGCTAGACCATTTGACACATTTCAGGAAGGAATTCGGGCTCCCCAACAAGTTGAAGGGTATGATTCTGAGGCATCCGGAGTTGTTCTATATGAGCTTGAAAGGTGTGAGACATTCTGTGTTCTTGGTGGAGGGTTTCAATGAGAAAGGTAAACTCTTTGAGAAAGATGATACTTCAGTCATCAGGGATAGGTTGATGCATTTGGTTAGGGAGTCGAAAAGAATGAGACAAGAGAGGCGTAAGGCTGCGATGAATAGAAGGGTTGATGGAGCCTCGAATGATGTCAGTAACAGTGATGGATTTCATGATCTCAATGATGATGAGTACGATGATGGGTTTGAGAATATTTTTGAGGATTCGGATCTTGAGGATTTTGATGTTGACTCATTTGAAGGCATTGGGGTTTGGGGCGATAGAGAGAATATGGATTTTTGGGCTGCAGATGCTTCCTTTCTTTCTGATCATGAAGCCGGGGAATCTCCCCCTGACCAATGGTAGTGAGATATGGCCATCCATCAGTTGTTGTAATGAGTCATTTCTACAGGTTAGCATAGGCTTATACTCGATCTTCTTTCCCTGTCCATGTTATGCATGATATCACACCTCCAACAACTTACATTATTGAATGTACATCTAAAGCCCAATTTTCAGTAATCCCTGAACTGTTTCTTCTATAATCTGGCCAGTAGCCTTCTGGTTCTAGGAGAGCTCAATCTGAATAGCTACACTCTTCCTGATCTTTGTACAGTTGTTCCTTAACCGAAAGGGCTGACAGCTTTAGCCTGCAACTGAGAATGATGGTAGCTGTTCGTAAACCTGGAAGATGGTGCAAGAATTAATCAAGCTCCACGATCTTTTCATTTTCTATTTTATCCTTGGGTTGTGTTAATATCGTGGATGTGGAGCTCCGATACTTCATCTTGAATTGTCCCTTGCTTGAAGAGTTGAGTGTGTCAGCGTCAAGTTTCTTACTTAACCTCAGGGTCGTGGGATCTTCTTCATCACTACTTAAGTAGTGATGGCAACAAAACCCGAACTCACGGGTATCGTACCCGACCCAATCCGGTCAACGAGGGTAAAACCCGTGTTGACGGGTTTTGACCCGGGTTTGGGTTTAAACCCGTTTATTATTCACCGGGTTTGGGTTTGGGTTTAGGTAAACCCGCCCCATGGGTACCTGCCCACACCCATATAATTAATTTTACCGGTATATTTAATATTCTAAACAACTAATCTTCTTTATGTTTGCGGAGACATGTCCGATTTTTTATTTGTAATTGTGTAAAATGAAGTTGATATTATAGACTGGAGAGTGACGAAGCTTAATTGACAAGGAGGAAGAAGATTTCAATTAATCATGTTTATGGATAATTTGTGATTTGCTTCAATTTTTTTGAGTTTTCTAGATTGGTGTTGAACAATTTGTATGGTTAATTTGTGATTTGCTTGAATTTTTAAGAATGGTGTTTTGTATATGGATAACTTGTGTTGGAAGATTGATATTTGACTTTTATTTTAATAGGAACTTGTTATTGTAAATTTTTTACGAAAAAACCTATGGGTACCCATGAACCCGCGGATACCCAGCGGGTTGGGTTGGGTTTGAGTTTTCCAAACCTTGTGGGTTTTACCATAGATTTTTTCCACTTATAAACCCATGGGTTAGGGAGGGTCATGAGGTGGAACTGCGTGTCAACAACTGTGCCTGTCTTGTAGATGTCACCTTTGGGTTTGTTGTTGATGCTAATATCATGGCTTCCCCAGTTGACTCCCTTTCTTGCTATTTTGTTGCTCGATTGGAGTCCCTTACGCTGAGCCTTACTTTTACCGTAAGTGGTTGAGAGCATTGAGCAAGAAAACATCCGAACAATAATGAATGGATTTTTTCTACGTGTATATGCTTTGACGATCATTCATGCAACTTTTTCCTTCTCACATTTTACATTTGGTTGTTGTAGAGTTGGGAAAAGGTTGCAGAGTGTGCCCCAATTCATCAAACCTTGAGCTGGTTGACAGCCCAAAGCCGTTGTACCAAGTAGTTTATCTGGCTGGATTCCTGTGATTAATTCATCTCTGGGTTTCACAAACTGAGGGTGGAGGTAATCATTCTTGAACAATAATCGTTTGGTCTGGATATTCTGTTTTGTGCGGCTTGTTTCCACTACCCCAACTTGCCTCTTTCTGGTTTTGGTTTGTGGCTTAACTGTAATAGTTTCTAATTCCTTTCCTCTTGAGTGCAGCTCTTCATATACATCTCCAACTGCAAACTGTTCCCATGATTCGGGCCTGTTGAGAACGTAGTTCGTGAGAGCATCAGCCTGGTAAAGATTGTGCGGTTTACAGGGCATCATATGGAGTTGCAGGTCACAGAGTACGCGTCGGTGTATTTTGTGGGGCTACAGAGAATAGTGGTTGATCAAGGTTTGAGCATCCCTTTCAAAAGAAGCCTATTGAAAGCCAAAATGGTCGACCTCGAGTTCAAATCGAGAGCACCCCTTCATTTGAATTAGTAGTAGTTTAGCTAGCAGTTTTTTCCCTCAACGTCTTCTGTGCTGTGCATGCCGCCATTTAAATGGCCTCAGCTAACTGTCTCAGTCACCTTACTTGCCCTTTTGTGCTTATATTGAGTATGTGTTGCACCTGTGGTTCAATCATTTTATATTGGTACAAATCTATATATTAACCTGTAATCCAATAGGAGTTTGTTTTTGTCATACTGCATTACTGCCGATACAGTAGAGTTTCACAAACAAGGTGAATAGTAACTAGTGTTTGTGTGTTTATCTTTAATTTAACTACTTGAGTTCGCATCTTGACATTGATGCAAATGAAGTCTCTTAATTGGGCTGGGCTGCTTGCAACTCGTATAATCGGGCTTGGCGGTGTAGTGGGCTAAACTAAGCCCGGGTGGAGATTTGTGGGTTCTGACCGAACCACGTGTCAGCATATGAGCGATTTCACTCGCCGATACGGTTGAACGGCGAGGGTCATTTCGGCAGAACCGGTGGAAAGGAAAGCAAGAAAGGAAGGAGGAGAGCTGTGTCATTTTTCCTTGATGAAGCAGGACTGGACAGGATGATTGATTAAAAATAATTTCTGCTTTATTTTTTCCGGCTCTGTATAATAAAGTAGTTGTAGTTTTAATTCTAATGGCTTCTCCTCCTTCTTGTTCGTCTTCTCATACCCTCTCCGCAACCTCGATCTTACCTTCACGAACCTTGCCAAAATTGTCCTTTCCTTCTTCCTCTTCTTGGTCCTCTTGCTGCTGTTACTTTTACGCTCCTCCGATACCTCTCCCTGTAATTGCCCTCAGAGGAGCTCGACGCAGGGCACGCCGGAGGCCGCCCGAGAAGCAGGACATGTCTTCCGTCCCCATGTCCATTCCGGCACATCGGCGCGACAAAAGCGACGAGCCATTTCTCAAATCTGTAGATAGTAAGCTGTTTGTTCGTGTTTCAATTGCTCCTTGTTTCCTATTATAGAGAGTCACTGAATGTTCGTTTTCTTTACTTCTTCGAGTTCTGCGTTTGGGTTCAGTGGGGAATGGTTGAATTACGATTGTTTTGCACTGTAGGATAAGGTAATTTCTTTAAGGTATTGGGATCTTTCAGCTTATTCTTCCCTTCGATGCAGTTGTAGGTTCTGGTAAAGGGGAAATACTAACGACGGAATTTGAAGGACAAGCAGCTTCCACAAGTAGGAATGTGACCCGTAAGAGCGTGTATGGCAGTAACAGAATCAAATGCTTTGGGGTGGAGTTGTCACCGGATAATATTGCAGTGGCGATGGTGTACTTTGTTCAAGGTGTTCTTGGGCTCTCCAGACTGGCTGTCAGTTTCTACTTGAAAGATGATTTGCATTTGGATCCCGCAGAGGTATTTGTCTTATTTATTTGGGTCCTTTCTCGTACTGCTAATTGTGCTAATAACATTTGACTCTCTGTCGGAAGGATTCCTAGTTACTGACAATGTATGTGTTGACTAGACAGCTGTGATATCCGGCTTCTCGGCATTACCGTGGCTTGTTAAACCTCTGTATGGATTTATCAGGCGAGATTGCTAGCTCTCTTCTACCTAAGTATTGGAAATTGCCGTTGTGTGTTTGTTCTCCCCCTTTCCTAATGCTGGCAGTTTGGTGGGTTTCAGTGATTCGGTTCCACTGTTTGGTTATCGAAGAAGGTCGTACTTGGTACTGTCTGGCCTGCTTGGTGCTCTTTCTTGGAGTTTGATGGCTACCATGGTTGATGACAAATATGGAGCTGCTTTATGCATTCTTCTTGGGTCATTCTCAGTTGCCTTCTCCGACGTTGTAGGTATCTTCAACTTATTAAGCTTACAACGAAAAATTGAGGGTTGTTATTAGTTAGTTTGAATGCACAACATTGGATATGGATGACATTGTTTGAGTTGGGCACAATCATGTGATGGAATGAATGACGGTGGCTGATTTGTTGTTGATTGCATCTTGCTGCCATCTCAAGATTCTTCTGAGTTCACAATCATTGTAGTATTCATGGTTGTTGCATACCATTGTGAAGTGATGCTGGTAATGCTTCAGTCTAATGGCACATCCTGGAAGAAAAATCATAAGGTGGTTTTGTATCTTCACCATAATTAAGAAAAAATCTCTCCAATTCAGGTTGTGGATTCAATGGTTGTAGAGAGGGCTCGTGGTGAATCACAAAGCACATCAGGATCTCTTCAGTCTTTATGTTGGGGTTCTTCAGCTTTTGGTGGGATCGTTAGCTCTTACTTTAGCGGTTCACTGGTAGAGGCTTATGGTGTAAGGTACATGGGGGTGGTACCATAGTTGTCTACTTCCGTAGTTCTTGATAGCATTCAAATTAGTCACTTTGATAACTAACTTCTGAGTTTTTGTAGGTTTGTTTTTGGTGTCACGGCTCTTCTACCGCTTATAACATCTGCAGTTGCTGTCCTTGTTAACGAGCAGCCTGTACGCGTTTCATCTCGGGGAAATATTCTTGCTCTCTCCAGTCCCAGTTTCCTGGAAACCTCTAAGCATCATATTATTCAGTTGTGGGGTGCTGTTAAGCAGCCCAATGTATTTCTTCCAACGTTGTTCATATTCCTGTGGCAGTCAACCCCACACTCGGACTCTGCCATGTTTTACTTCACGTATGTGCTGATTTGTGATTATGGTTATTACCCCTTAAAAATTTTCCCCATTACGTATTATGAAAACTAGAATCTCAGCTAAGGTATTTTCTCCCTCTTTTATCTTTACAGCACAAACAAACTTGGTTTCACACCAGAGTTTCTTGGTCGAGTCAAGCTGGTTACATCAGTTGCATCATTGGCCGGGGTTGGATTGTACAATGGGTTCCTGAAAAATGTCAGCTTCCAGAAGATCTTTCTTGGAACAACACTTATTGGTACAGCACTTGGAATGACTCAGGTGAGTGACCGCAACATTTCTCGCCCGTTCTGTCTGTCATTACTGGTTCAACTCCACTTAATTCTGTTTTGCTAATTATTGCCTGTGGCTTGTTAACCCTCACAGGTATTTCTTGTTACGGGGTTCAACCGAACACTTGGCATCAGCGACGAGTGGTTTGCAATCGGAGATTCCCTAATCTTAACTGTCCTCGGCCAGGTAACAAAGGCCCTTTCTCTCCACCATTTCCCACCTTGGCCAGACTGACCAACTAGGTTCCCCTTGTTTTCCAAACTGCGCAGGCTTCATTCATGCCAGTTCTTGTGCTAGCTGCGAAATTATGCCCGGAAGGAATGGAAGCAACACTGTTTGCAACTCTCATGTCGATATCAAATGCAGGAAGCGTGCTCGGAGGTTTGGTTGGCGCTTTCCTCACTCAGTCTTTCGGAGTAACAAGGGACAGCTTTGACAACTTGGCGGTGTTGGTCATTCTCTGCAATCTCAGCTCGCTATTGCCTCTACCGCTCCTCGGCCTTCTCCCCAACGATACTTCTGAGTCCACTTCAAAGGAAACGGATGACGATGACGTTGAGATGAAATCTAATTGATAGAAGAACAAACTGCTTACAGGGAGGGTAATATATAGGTATTAGTGACTGGAAGCATTCAGTGACAGGGATGAATCATATAATCCCTTAGCTTGTAACCATTTTGAATGGGCAACACTCTACTTAATTTACTTTTCATGTGTATCAGACTCGTCAGTTATTAACTTACCTGGAAGGCAATATTCGAAACAGAAAACAGCTGGGGGCAGTCGAGGGCCCATTTGGGCCTGGGGCTGGGCTGTCACCTGAAGGGAAAGATTGTGGGTCAACTGGGCTCCAGTTGGATACGGAAATCGGACGAATCACTAGTCCAGAGCCCATGTCGAGCGGGATTAAGCACCCACATGGTGGGGGTGACAAGCGTTTCTTGTTTGTAGGTAGAGTTCAGGTTGAATATTTTTGTGTGCAAGTGTAGGTTGGGATATGTACGAGTATTTGGTTTAAAAGAGAAATACATGGATTGTTAATTTTTTCAGAGCACTTCTATTATACTATATAGTATTGGTGCTTTAATGATCAACTTGAAGTTGTAACATTAAATTTATAAATTTAGGTTGTACCATAAAGGAATTTGTACCATTATATTATGGTACAACTTTACAACTTGAAGTTGTATTATCACATAAAGGTATAAGTTCAAGTTATACCATAAAAGAATTGGTACAAAAAGTATAGGTACAATATGAAATTGTACCATAACATTAAAGATACAATTTCAAGTTGTACCATAAAGACAAAAACCTATAGCACCAATGCTATATAGGATTGTAAAATTCCTTTTTTTCATTAAAGGAATAGAGATTCTAATGTAGGTAGGACATATCACTTTTTTTTAACAAAAGATAATCATATATATTGATACCAAAACATAGATAGTTACACCCTGGAATCAAGCCAGGTCCGGAAATCAAAGAAACGACTCATGGTCGGGTACAAAGAGAGGGCTTTTCTAGCCACCAAGTGGGCCACCCTATTACTACTCCGACCTATAAATCGCACACTAATCCCTGGGCTACTATGACAATATTGTAAGACTTCTTCCAGAACGGAGCCCATCCGGTTATCTCTAGCATCACTGCAATTGATTTTGTCAATGACAATCTTAGCATCCCCTTCGAATCGCACCCCTGTAATCCCCTGCCCCAAACACTAAGTAATAGCCTCCCGCAGTACTAGCAACTCCACGACCCCTGGGTCATCAATCCCCTGGAACTGAATCCCGTGAGCCAAAAGAACATCCCCAGAGGGAGACAGAAGAACCATGCCACCTGCTGAATGCGACCCCTTCCTAGTAGCCCCATCCCACTGGCAAGTAAACCCTGCATCCAGCCCTGCCCCATTTGATCATGGAACCACTGGGGGAGAAGGCATACGAGGCACATCCACTGGCAGCCCCACCCACTCCTCATACTGCTGGGAAAACTGCCTCATCAACGCGGGGAACCCAAACTGCTTCCCTTCAAACACCACCCAATTTCTCGACCCCCAAATACGCCAAAGTATAGCGACAAATGCCATAAAGAGCGTCGGCTGCTGAATTAAGGCCAGCAAACGTTTAAGAAACAGCGAAAAAGTATGGCGAGGCAACCCCTCCCCTAAGTATTCTAGCCCCGACAGGCCCCAGAGCTCACGCGCCACCGGACAATCCAGAAATAGATGCTCCATGGTCTCCGGGCAACCCAATAGACTGGACAACGTGGGAGGACAGGGATCTTTCGAGCAATTAGGGCCTCTGTGGTGGGGAGAATTCGATTCAGAATTTGCCAAACAAAGACTTTCAGCTTAGGGGGGATATTCGCATCCCACAACCTGATCCAACTGGATCTATCCATCCAACTAGCCGACGCCTTCCACCTCCCCCTCTTCCTATCAAGGGAGACAGCCAGATGATAGGCTGACTTGACCGACAACACCCCATCAGGAGTAAAATGCCATATCAGTTTATCCTTGATATTCTGTCGGGGAAGGGGAATAGTTTTTATAATACGGCAAGTAGGTGGGTCAAACCATTGGCTAAGCTTGAGGTCACACCATCGCCCTTCCCCCTGGAAAATTACCTCAGCCACAGTAGGATCTCCCCCCACTGGTAACACCACCGGATTATACCGCGGGGGATCAAGCTGCAATGGAGGAATCCAGGGAGATCGTAGTAGGGACGCCGACCGCCCATTCCCAATTTGCCACCGAAGCCCCATCTCCAATAAATCCCGACCATATAAAATGCTTTGCCAGCCCCAAGATGGGCGTGACCTGGCTTTAGCATTGAGGAAATGCCCAGAGGGGAAGTATTTGCCCTTATAGACTTGAGCTAGAAGAGACTGAGGCTCCACTAAAATATGCCAGCCGATCTTGGCTAAAAGGGCTTGATTGAAATGCTCAAACCGACGGAAGCCCATACCCCCCTCATGCTTACTCTTACACATATCCCTCCAGGTCATCCACCTGATCTTAGAGTGGCCCGCCTCATCACCCCACCAAAAGCGAGCAACATGTTTGTCCAATAACCGACATAACGAAAGAGGCATCTAGAAGCAAGACATCACATGCAAAGGTAAGGCCAAAGCAATAGACTTAATCAGTGTCTCCTTCGCTGCCCAAGACAAGGTCCTTCGTTTCCATCCCTGTAACCTCTCCAACAGCTTATCCTCCAAATACCGAAAGGTTGCCATCTTATAACGAGCAATCAAAGTGGGGAGGCCCAGATACTTATCCTGCACCCCAACAGCTCCAACACCCAAAATCGCCGCTAAGAACTCCTGGTCAGGAAGCGCAATGTTCTTACTGAAACATACCACCGACTTAGCCAGGTTGACGCGCTGTCCACTGAGTTCCTCATATTCATTTAGTACCGTTATTAAAGTCTCACACTCCTGTAGAGTGCCCCGCAGGAATAGATAAGAATCATCGGCAAAGAAAAGGTGCGAGATTCGAGGGGCGCGCGGGGCCACCCTAACCCCAGCCGGTTTCTTCTCCTCAATCGCCTTATGCAAGAGAGCCGCAAACCCCTCAGTGCAGAGCACAAAAAGAAGAGGGGACAAGGGATCCCCTTGTCGCAAGCCCCGCGATGATATAAAGAACCCAGATGGTGTACCATTCATCAGCACAGAGATAGATGACGACCGGAGGCATTCATGTATCCACCCTTGCCAAACTGAGTTAAAACCCATCTTGTCCAAAATAGCAAGCAGAAACGGCCATTCGACTCTATCATAGGCCTTTTCCATGTCAACCTTAAGAGCCATGTACCCTTTATTACCTGGCCTCTTAGTTTTCAAGTAATGCATTAATTCATGCCCAAGGAGGATATTCTCAACAATTTGGCGATCCCGAATGAAAGCATTTTGGCCAGAAGAGACAATATTAGGCAAGAGACCCGACAATCGTTCAGCCATGATCTTAGTTATGATTTTATACACAAATTGGCATAAACTGATTGGGCGCAATTGTTGCATGGATTCAACATTATCCACCTTCGGAATCAACGTGAGCCAGGTGTGATTGAAACTACGGAGCATCCTACCAGTCGTAAAAAAAGAACATACTGCGTCAATCACTGACTCACCCACAATACGCCAAAAGGTCTTAAAAAATTTCCCCGTGAACCCATCAGACCCGGGAGCCTGTTTAGCTCCCATCGCGAAGACATTTTTACGCACCTCCTCCGGAAGGACAGCAGCTGTCAGGCCAGCATTCATTTCCGAGTTACACTACGGGCGATAGGCAAAGCAGCAACACGTTCTCCCATATTATGAACTTGATTTTCCGAAGTGAACAGGTGGTCATAGAAACTGGTAGCAATATCCGCTTTACCTTTCTCATCAGTAATCCAATCACCATTCTCATCTCTTAAACCCGAAACAAAGTTTCGTTTACGACTTGCCCTAGTCACTGTATGGAAATATGACGTGTTTTTATCGCCCTTTTTCAACCAGTGAACTCTAGACTTTTGCTGCCAGTAAGCTTCCTCCGCATCCCATTGTCTTGATAATTCAGTTTCCAGACCCCGAACCGTATCCCAATCAATTGGATGAGTGAGCTTAAGCCGCTCAATTTCTCCTTGAAGGGTCCTGATATTCCGCAGGGAATTGGTGGTTCCTGCTCTGCTCCAATCATACAATAAATGACGCAATTTCTTAAGCTGCTCCCAAAGTCAAAACATCGGGGTGCCTTGGATATCTTCCTGCCAAACATAGGCAACCATGGCCTTTACTTCAGGGTTATCCGCCCAACGAGCATCAAAACGGAATAGGGGGCGACTATTCCGAATATATGGCTTATCAGATAGGAGGAGCGCCCGGTGATCCGATCCCTGATCTGTAAAATGCTTGAGCAAGGTATCAGGGAAGCGGTCAAGCCAAGATTGCGAACAGAGGGCTCTATCGAGTCGATCTCTAACACAGGCCGCCCCCATTCGTTTATTAGTACAAGTGAATTGGTCCCCCTGGAACCCAGGGTCCAGAAGGCCCAAATTCTGTATAAAATTACGGAGGCTCAGCGCTTGCGCCGCATTCCAAAGATTCCCTCCATCCTTCTCACTCTCATGAAGGGTCGTATTAAAATCGCCAAGAATAACATAGGGGACTTGGATACCCACACAGACCTCATGGAGCTGGTCTAACTGAGTAGCACGACGAGTGACATTGCATCTAATGTAAACAAAGATCGCCACATACGAGAAATTCATTTCATTAACTTGAACACAAATGCATAAATCCGAATGAAAAAACACCGAAGCATCAACTTCGGGAGCCCACGCAACAACTAAACCACCCGATGCCTCAATTGCATCAACAAAAAAACAACAAGAATACTCAAACCCTAACCCACGCAAACAGCGGGACACTAATCTCCGTCTCGAACGTGTTTCCAAAAAAAACACAAGATCCGGTTCATTCGAATGAACTAAACCAACAGCAGTTTGAAATGTGAGGGACGGGCCAATTCCTCTCACATTCCAGGCCATAAGCCTCATTTATCTGGCTGGGGCCACTCAAGGCTAGCTTCCTCCACCTGATCAGCTCCATCAGCAACTTCCACAAACTGTTTCTTCGGAGACGGGGGAATACCCAGAGAGCCTCCTACATGCTCCAACGAGCATTTGCGACCCCCAATGGTCGGGTGCATCATGTTCGAACCATACTCATCCAACCCCATCCTGAAAGTATCCTCCCCCCCTCCTGGCGCACCCCTGGATCAAAATCATTTGGGGGCTCTTCACCACAAGGATTTCCCTGGCTCCCCTCCTGGGCCAAACATAGGCCAGCCTCAAACGCCGCCACCACCGTATTAACCCGGCCTTGGATCTTTGGATTCTGATGCATACCGCACCCCGTAGGGATACGTTTCTTAATCTCGAAGCACGACATCTCCTCCTCCGACTCCGATTCAGCAAAAACTTGCTCCTCCTTCGGATTTCCAGCACTGCCATTATCCGACCCAATTGTCGAGCCCTGAGGCACTCTGGCTCCTGAATTATGCCTGACTCCCTTTGTGCCCACACTACCATTCCCATGAACTTTCATTTTATATGGTTTCGCGTCACCATGAGCTAGCCTCAACTTTCCCTTCAACTGCTGCCTCGGAGCTGCCCTGACAGCGGAGGGTATGGCTCCTTTGGTCTCCTGGGTACCCATTTCCTCCTTCTCACGTACGCAACCTACTTGGTCACTATGTGGCGTGGAAGCCATTGATTGGTAGGTAGGCTTATCCCCCATGGCCACGTCAGTCACTGTAGCCTTATTTGGATCAAGATCATCCTCCGAGTCCTCCTCCAATATCAGACGCCGACGCCTAGCTTCCTCTAGCACCGTCTGCACCTCAGGTTGTGCATCTGGCGAGGCCTGGTTACTAGGCTGGTCTGGTTTGACTCCCCGCTTCTGGGCCTGCCTCGTCCTGTCTCTGTTGCCATTCGCCACGGGCCGAGGTGAACTTAGGTCCGGACTTGCCCGCCTCAGCTTACGCGGCCCACCCCCCATACGGGTAATAGGTGATTTGCGGACCGGAAAGCCTTTCGGGCTACCGAGCTTGGGCTTAGTCTTCATCATGGGCCTGGGGGTGCTGGATCAGCCCACCTGTCTAGGTTGGGTCCGCTCACTGTCATGGCCGGGAACCCGGGATCGAGGAATAGACTCTCCCGTCTGTGAGCCAAGCCCGCGACCTGTATTTTCCTTTCCCGCTCCCTCCATTTGCTGTCGAACCTGTCTGTTAATCCAAACTGAATTTCTAGCCCCACGAAAACCTTGGTTGGTCTCAACTTCCTCATAAATTTTACGTCCCATCTTCCTTGTAGTCATGTGCGGACCGAACTTTTCCTTCCCCTTTGGAGGATCATAGGAGCATTCACGACGTGCATGGCCCAGACGGCCACAATGATAGCAAAAGGTCGGAAGGAATTCATATTTCAACCGCACCCAGAAGTATCCGGTTTCTTCACTAACCACCATAAGTTGGGACCTCAAAGGCTTTGAAAAATCCACCAGAGCACGAACTTTCACAAAATTCCCTCCCGTGTCTTTGCAGGTGAAGACATCCGATTCAAGGACCTGACCAATGGTGGGGGCTACAAGTTTTTGCCCGAATTGTTTGGTACAACAATCCTCCTTCACGTCCTAGAGCTGGATGCGGAATGGAGCAACAACAAGATCGTCAAAGATCTGCTTATTAATCATAGATGTCCAGGAGCGAAGGTTGATTAGTTTGTCTTTAATCACCCACGGGGTCCTTTTTAAAACCCATATTTTGGATTCTTCACTTGGCAAAACGATCTCGATCAATCCATGCTTGGTTCGCAAAACCCGAAGGTGTCCTCTCATTTGCCACGCGTCACTCAATTCATCTCTAAGCTCAGTGTTTGTGAGCTGGTTCCCCGTAAATATTCGGCCCAAGAGGGTACGAGAGGCACGGAATTTAGGCGATTGGACTTCATCAAGGTTGAATTTCACAACCTGGTCCTCACCAGCACGATCCATCAAGTTTTCCTGCATCAGAGATGAAGGCCAATTAGTAATATGGCTCGAAACCAAGTACATGGGCGGCGGATCATGGTGGGGACGCATCCCAAGTGAGGGAGCAGATTCCACCCTCGGATTGCCGACTGAAACCGGGGACGAGAGTGACGATACAGGGCAGGGCGATGGATTGATGGTCGGCTTACCTGGACGTTCTTGGCCGGCAGACAGGGGATGGCTAGGCAGCACTTCTCGGCGGCCTTTTCCTCTCAGCAGAGAAGAGCTCAAACTACACCAAGGTTGGGGGAAGGCGATGAATGAGAAGGAGGCTGGCTGAGGAGCACCCTTTATAGAACTCCCCATCTGCCTAGTGCCGTCCAGGAAAAGAGTTTGTAATGGGTTGGGTCAGTGGCGGACCCAAAATTTTGGGATAGGTGTGTCAACCAATAAAATAAAAATAAATTGATTAACATTATTTAATTAATTAAAAAATAACAGAAAATTTGTATTCATAAATTTCACCAATTTTATTATTTCTTACAGTGAACCACGACGATTTTTCATATTTTTAAAGATTTCTTAATTCCATTTGTCCATTAGGTTGCAAATCAAGTATTTTTTATCTACAAAATGAAACAATTATTCATGAACTGATAACTCAACATATACCAAAGATTGTTCTTGATTACACTCATATATGGAAAATGTCATTTTGTAGCTTGCCTGCAAGAGGTAAAAGTCAATACTAATTTAAGATGAGAAATGTGGTATGAGAATCTCGAAGGGTGGCCACATATGTCAACGTGGAAATTTGAATGAGCATGAGGATGTCGTTGGCTCGATGCTGATAATTGAAGGGTGGCTACAGGCGTCAACGTGGAAAGAAATAACTAAACTAGAAAGCAAGTTGAAAATTAACTTAAAGAAAAATCTATGGAAGAAGCTATGGCGAAAGACAGCGTGGAATTCACTATCTAATTATTTGACTCAACCACCTTATTAATCAAATATAATTCACATTCAAATTATCGATGTTGTCTCTAAGGTGATAGCTATCTTTCTGAATACTCATTATGTACTAAGTAGTCAATTAATTGTGTACTCTTGGGCAACCAACTAAATAACTACATAATCTGAAGCCCGATAACTCATCTATTTGCATATTTTAATAACATTATGACAATAATTTATTTTGTAATGTAATAAGGTGTGTCGATTACAATTATTGGAGGTGTGTCGGAGGTCCCATATTCGTAATTTTTACACCAAAAATTTGTGGGTTCTTCACAAAAAATTTGAACCAAGGTGTGTCGGGTGACACACCTTGATCAAAGGTGGGTCCGCCGCTGGGTTGGGTATCCCGATTACGGTTGGGATTTGGATATCCTCTGATACTTTGTTTTTTATTTATTTTTTCTTTGTGCTCTGCTCGGCTTATTCGGGGAGAGGAATCCGAGATGCTACCCCATCCCCAACTTCATCCCAACCGTCCTGATTGTCCTCGATCGAGATTCGCGGGATACCACCGAGCCTGTAGCCGAAGAAATCGACCCGGTCACTACATCGGAGCACCTGCCGGAGCTCGGATTGCTCGACCCCGACGGTGACGGCCCACCGACCTTTGTGGGAAGAAGAGATTCATGATTGCACGATGGTTTCACACGCCCATCCTCCCCGAAGGGTTTTGCACAATCAATCCCACAGAAACGATCTGAAATCCCCAAATCCGGACATTTGCACCGCTCATTCAATATTGGAGCCGACTGCGAAAGGGGAATTTCACGATTACCAGCTGGTTTCATAAACCCATCCTCCCCGAAGGATTTTGTACAATCAAATTCACAAAAATGATTTACAGACCCCAAATCCGGCTGCTTGCGCCGCTCATCAGTTGTTGGAGTCAAATGAGGAGCTAGAGCCTCCCCATCCAGCACAGACGACGGGGGGAGCCAAAATCTCCACCCCTTTAAACTCGACTTTCTGCTTTTTTGACAGAATCAACATCATAGAACTCCATAGCTTCCCCTGGAGATTCCATTCGCTTGCGTTTCCTGGTCGAGATGGCCCTTCGGCGGATCAAACACGCCCATAGAACTCCATAGCTTCCCCTGGAGATTCCATTCGCTTGCGTTTCCTGGTCGAGATGGCCCTTCGGCGGATCATAGAACTCCATAGCTTCCCCTGGAGATTCCATTCGCTTGCGTTTCCTGGTCGAGATGGCCCTTCGGCGGGCACTTTTCAGATACTTAATCGGGGGTTCCTGTGACTTTACGCTTTGTAGATCTGCCACCGGTGGTCGCCGCAAGTTTCCGCTACGCCGGTGCCCCTCGCCTTGGTCGGAAATCCCCTGGTTCTGCAGGCTGATCGAGAAGATGGCGATCCCCATCTCCCAAAGCCATCGACCAATCGCGGTGGCTAACGAGCGGAGCGAAGAGAGAGCTCCGCGCATGCCCGACGCTTTTTTTTTTTTTTTTGCTAAAAAGTTTGTACTTTTGCTTAGGTCGGACAGATCACAATAGTGCTTGTGTGGGATTTTTTTGCTATGAACTTGGTTAAAACCATATGCTAATACGAACAATTTTATATTCACAAAGATGGATGAAGGGGCTCTCCTCCTAACACTAATATAAAGAGATTCTCCGCAAGAACATGATTAATTGTGAATTTCCATCCTTCTGAGTAAATTTAGGAAATATATTTTTATCTTCTTTATTAATAAAAATTCAAACTCTATAAAAAACTGGAGATTATGTTGAGTATACCATGGAAAAGAGATTCCATAGGGAATTTGTTGGAAACTAATTATTATGTTAATATCATTTGTTAGGAAGACGGTTGCGTGTATAAAAAGGCAAGTCTAATCCTTTATAATTATTGTTACATCTATTTTATTTTATTCCCCCCTCTTTTTAACTGTTGCTAACGTGAGAGTTAATTTTTATCCCCTTGAGATTATGTTTAGGAAAATGTATTTATTAATTAGTTAACTTAAACAAACCAAACATTTTTCAGCTATAATTTTGGATTTGAGATTTTTCATGAAACAGATAGAAAATAAAAATTCAACGTGCTAATGAGAATTGATAAATGTGAAGAGATTATGAATATAATTATAAGTGACTGTCTAATTAATTATTAGTTTATTCCTCAAATTCTCATTTAGTTATTGATTTTTTCTTAGACCAATGAAATGTATTGCACAATCTTCATCTAGGGACTAGAGGTTCAAAATTTCAAATCAATAACTAGATAATTTTTTCCATAGATTCATTTTTTTTGAATAACGATAACAAAATTGAGAGATCGTACCATGTCAGACCTAGGTTGGTGATGTATAGTTTTCCTTTACCATAGTGGCAAACATGCAACTTCACTTTCTTTCTTCATGATTTTGTTTGGTTTTGATCAAATATTAGTGGGAAAATTATATTGGTGCGATGATAATTCTTATCAAAACTTCATTTGACACTAACATATTATTTTGTTCTGTTGTGCCCTTTTCAGTATTGTTTTGAATTTTTTATGTTAATGCATACAGTTATTAAGTACTATATTTATTGTTTCTATGTCTCGAAAAAATATTTACCTTGAAGAATCATATAATTGATAAAACAATGCTCTAGTAGGATCTTCAAAACAATGCTAACACAAATCTCAAGAACTATAGTTAGAGGTTTTCAATTTCTCACAAATTCAGCGGACTATATCTCATTCGTTTCAACTTTGATTTAAAAAAAGGTTAAAAGAATAGAAACTTGCCAAAGAAAATTTGAAGAAGAATATGTTGAGTAATTTTATAAAAATTATACAACAATATCAAAAGACAATAATAGTTAGGTAATAATCTACCTCTACTCTTGTGTTGTTTTCAACTTCGAGTTCATTCATTTGAGAGAAAACAAAGTACCACTAAAACATAAATTTTTTGGCCAAATGGTTAATCTCAATTGTTGTTATTTTATAGATTCGGGATTAACTGCGAGTTGTAGACAACATTGGTTAATCTAACTTTATTTGTTTGTATCACGAGGGATCTAGATTTTGGAATGCATACTGAGAAACTACTCCAAGATACTAACAAATGAGATAACCTTCACCTCCTCATCACATCAAAACAGAGAGCATGAAGTTAATTTTTCAGATCACGCTCACTATTACAACATCGCGAACCCCATAATTTAGTACATAGTTTTGATGATTATGAAGACGAAGACGAGCAATCTCAGACAAAGTTCATGACGTGTGCTTGGTAAATTTAAGTTCTTGAAGTTGAAGTTTCATAATTCTAAAAATATTTCCATTAATCTTTTGCGTTAAGTGAAATGCAGGAGAAGAAGGAAGTGTATGCTCATAGCGGAGGTAGTGAGTTAAGTTATGGAGATAATGACGTTATTGAGATAAAGGAAGATATTATCGATGGTGGATATAGAAATTTCAGAAATGGGAGGAAAGAGTGGATGATTGATAATATTTATGATTTGGATGAAGTAAAATCCTGTTATCGTGAAAAGATATTTCACATTTTCAAACATTTTACCATTAATGGGTCGTTTGATTGAGGGTTTTGATGATAGATTTGGTGATGGAAACCCATCCATCATGGACTTGAACGGAAATCTATCGTTTGCATTAAGGATTTAAGAAGATGAAATTCGTGGGGGCCATGTACTTTAGGGGTCCAAATCCTTGGGCCCATAAACTTGAAAGTTTCACCTCTTGAGGTGGGATTTGGGTGGTGGATTTAAATACATGATGGTAATTTACCCTACTAGTCTTAATTATTTTTAATTACAAATTTGTCCTCCTATTTCATTATAATGGGTATGCAACTGTAAACGTTTATAATGTCATATATTATTTAATATGAGAATTTATCATTTTTTTTGTAATATCATATTTTATTTAAATATGAATGTGTATGTGATTTGTTGGATGCAACTATAAACACCTTATACTCATTTTTTACATAATTATTTGATTGACCATCAGATTTCCAAATTGGGGAGTTAGCAAGAAGATGATAAGTTGTAGCAATAAGGCGAGCAACTAGTTGCGACTTATACATAATATTGTTTATATTATTAGATGAATTGTTAATTAGTTTCTAAATTGTGATACATTTCTATATTTGTAGTTGAATTATTAGTCCACATAATAGTGGTATAGAGTAAAATTTCTTTGTATGTACTGAATTTGTTTTTAATGAGAAAATTGGATTATAGAAATATAATTAAATAAGGGTAACAAGGTAATTTGTATTTCATATCCACAAATCTCACCAAACAAAATCCATAATCAAATCCAACCAGCAAACAATAGACTTGCTCAAATCCGTAATGCCACCAAATCCATCATATATCTATGATTTTCCAAAA